AGACTTTTCTCGTTCGAGATCTGCCATGTTTTGTAGCTGCCTGCAGTCCGCGACACTACTGACCTCTAGATCGTATTTTGATAGTAAAAGGATCGTATTTTAAGTCGTATTGGGACCTTATTTGCGTCGTAAAGTGATCGTATTTACATCGTAAATTAACTTAAATTAATCGTATTCATGTCGTAAAGTAAGTTTTCAAAAAGTCGTATTGTGTCGCTTTTACGATAAAGGTACGGTACAACTACGAGCAGAAGAAGAGAGTTGAACTCGTATTTTTATCGTGAAATGTCGTTTTCACGATCACATTCAGAGATTTTTACCATAAAAAAATCGTAAAGAAATCGTGATTTGTCACTTTACGACAAAGGCACGGTGCAACTACGGGCGGAAGAAGAGTTTTGAAGTGGTATTTCTATCGTCAAATGTCGTTTTTACGATCAAATTTAGAGATGTTTACCTTGCAAATAATCGTATTTTGTCACTTTCACGATAAGGTCACGGTGCAACTACGAACAGAAGAAGAGATGGGAAGTGTTATTGATATCATCAAATGTAGTTTTTGCGACTTTTTGCCCGGATCCGGATCCGGGAATTTTCTGCATATGAAATCTAGGAAATCTTTGCTTCTGGAATCCGGAATCCTGGCTTTGGAATCTGGAATACAGCTCAAGAAATCCAGAATCACGGCGTGGATCCAGAATCCAAGACTTTCTTGGATCCACAATAAAGATACAGCGAACTGTCTAAAGAAAGGCGCCTTTTGTCAGATGTGGAAATCTTTTTTATGTGGTCGATTCTACGATGCACACATTTTTTGACGTCCAGTCGACTGAAACAACAAAGCAGCCATTCTATCTTTACCTGGTTTTTCACCCAGACACATGTTTTCCTAGTCACCTTTGCAGCCGGCCGTTCTGGTCAAGTGACGTAGCGCTCCTCTCCAAGGGTAAAACGGCTACGCAGAAGACAAGTGTTTTGTTCTTTGGCTCTAGATTTAGAAATCCTTACCTTGTAACTTTTTCGATGGAGATACTATTGAATTACAATCTGAGAAGAAAGGCTTTTGCTGAGAAGGTTTAGATATCCTTGCGCCATTTGGTCGTTTTTACAGTGAACACACAGTTTAGTTACAAACAGAAGAAGCCATTTTGAGTTCCTCGTTTGTACAATGACTACAGAACGGCCACTCAAAGAATGTGAACATTCTTATTTTTTATTCAGTTTACAAGACATATCTCTGACAGGACTATCAAAAACGTTCATATAAAATATCGTAATTATCATTACAATATACTAACTGCAATTAATATCGTTTACCTGTAATACTTTAAGTAGATATTGTGGTTCTCAAAATTCAAAATTTCATTAAAATGAAGGATTATGCACAAGACGTTTACAAGGTAATGTTCCGATAAAAGTCGATCGCACACCCTTCAAATCGCAAAAACTTCGAAACTTCGGAATTCCCACCTTTTCAAGGTTATTACACCTTACATTGGTCTCGGGTGTTGTCTTTGTTCGCACGCGGCAACTTCTGATTTTGAGTGTCACATAAATGCTAATCAAAACAACATTGTCAAAATGTGAATTATAGATGTTACTGTAGCATGGCAATGTGGCCATTATTCTTTTCATCCTCGTTTAGCAGTAGAGAAGAAACAGATCGTAGCATGTACGCGGACGCTTAGCTGGACTCCGGAGAAAGCGAACTACCCGAGAAGGGAACTGGAGGGAGACCGTCTTCTCTTAAGGGTCTTGAGTGCCTTGTGCGCTCGTCCACGCGACAATCCTAAAGGACTGCTGCCATTCTGAAAAAAAAAAAACATAATGAACGGTATAACTGTATGAAGCAAGGATCACTTATGTAGAAGCAAGAAAGATGGAAATCATATTGTAATGAACTTCAATGCCAGGTAGTTGTGCAACTAAAAAGAACTTACTAAGGGGCAGAAAGTATCAGGCCAAGGAATCTTTAACTGTCACACCATTTAAATGAAATATAACTCTCAATTTACCGGTGATTCATCGTGGCTTCCAAGTACATGCGCGAGTGGAATGCACCTATCAAGGTAAGCTTAGGTAAACGACACACAGAGAGCCTATTCCTCTCCGGCCTAGCCTACCTAACAAGTGGGTGCGATCTTTTTTTCTCTTTTTCCAATTTTTTCGACAAACTCGCGCGGAAAAGCTTACTATCCAGGCTATCTCGGGACAGTCTGGTAAGTTTTCCAACAGACTGTGGGGGCATGATTGAAAATTTTGGAACTCGTGGAGCTATAAGTTTGATTCCTTCAAAGGCATTATACCAAAACCAGCACTACGCGATTCCAAGAATTTTTGGATTAAACGTTATACACATTTGTACAAATTCGGGGCCGATTTTCATGCCCGATTTCTTGTTTTTTTATTATTATTATTATTTGTAGATTGATATATCAGTTTGTAGGCTTATCTTTATTTGTAGGCCGTTTATGGTTTGCTCATAGGGTAACGTACTCCTACCTGATTCGCTCCTATGAGGATGTAAAGGGCTACTTTAGATGAAGATTAGCCACAGAGAATCAAGCACATGAATGAATTTGCACCGGACGACGGCATAATCGATCCTGGTGTCTTTTAATGTCGTCATAGTCAACTGAAATTAAATAAATTGCATCATAAGGTTACTGTTTATATTATATCACATAAGCTCTTTGAAATCCCTTTGCTTAGCTAGTCTACTTTGTATCGCAAAGTTGAAGCGTCTGTCTGAACCTAAAATGCAAATCAATACTAATCAATATCTTTTTCTACCTTGCGTACTCTCTAAGGGTGGATTTCCATTGTCTAGCCCGTGTGCGGACCTCCCCCCCCTCCCCTCATGAAAAATTCGGAGAAGGGTCCCTTCTCCGAATTTTGGGCTAGGGACTTTTAATACGGTGAACGAATCAGATCATATTTGAGACTAAATGAGTCAAACATAAAATCTGTAATATCTGTAATCCAGACTGAACCGAGCGAAGCGAACTGCTCGAGCAGTTTCTGCGAATCTTCGCACCTCTCTTGTTTACAGCTACTCTGGTAACATCATGCAATTTTCGCCCTTGTCGCCGCTAGTCGCCACAGGTGAAGTTTCCACACACTCGTTGACTAAAGCGTCAAGATTATAGCATTGATTTCAATCAAACTAATTTAATTAGAACGTAGACGGTTAAATGTAACACGAATATTATGGGTTTTTTAACACTCACTCTGTAACCGACCGCTTTCATAAATCATGTTTGTCTGTAGTAAACTTTTTATTATACAGTATACGCGTCCTGGTATACGCCATTTTATATTACTTCTCTCTGAAAAATAGAAAACAGATTAAACGCACAAAAGGCCATACATATTCAAAAGCCATGGAAACGTATTAACACTGTTTCACTTCTTTTGAAATGCCAAAGCTTAAACTACAGCTCAAGAACACGTGTAATAAATAAAATGTTGCCACTGTTAAATTCAGTTAGGGTAACATTTTTAATTCGAGGTTTTCTATTACACCTGTTAAAACGAAGTAGACTTACTTATTTGGGAAAGAAATTTAAAGATTATTAAATAACTCACCAAAACATTAGCCTTTTATAGCAGTCCTTTTGCCTTTCGTTCTCCTTGCTTTCTCGTTTAAAATGTTGAGTAAACGGCGCGCGAAAATGTGGCGGTAAGCGCAACAAGAGTTGACACGTGACAATATGTTAGGCATCTCATTGGTTTGTGGTTTTCTCGTCTGCCAACCAGAGTAGCTCTTCTTTGTTGATCACCTCGATGTAATGTGTTTCTAAAAGGGGTTTCTTGTTTGAACCAAAATTTTTTGTAGTAATGGTAGCTAGCTATTTAGCTGATTTACTGTAGGAACACGAGTAGCCATAGCGGTCTCGATCGCCCATCGGTATGGGGGCAAGGGACCTTGGCGGAACGGGGGATGTAAAGATTTAATAAAATCCAGCCCTACTCACCTAAGATCACCTGATGATCCGCTCGGAACCTTTAAATAAGATTTTCGGGTACGTCGTTACTCAAGTGGTCGTTACCACTCGGGTTGACCAAACGTTCACAATTGTGCCGAATAACTTGGCGCTGCTTGGCGGTTTTAATACTTTTCCAAACTCAGCAAATGAAATGTGTGCTTTCTGGTTCCGGTGTGCTGCTTTTACTTCGAAGGAACTACATTTTCCACTCACTTTCAACAGCATTGTATTATTAAAAAATATAAGCTTTTGAACAGTATTTAAGTTGAGATGTTCGGTGACGACGCTTTCCTGCATCGCATTGCGTGACACTTCGTAGTTGAACAAGTAAGGGCGCTCACTCTCGAAAATGTGTTGTGTTTCGCAGACGTTCTGAAGCTTTACTTGCTGGGTTTATTCCTATAATTATTACATCTCTGCCAGAAATGCTACAGGTTTACAACAACACGTACTAAGATTGTACAATAAAAATGTAAGAAACTAGCTAGTACAATACACTTTTCGAGTCGTAAATAAGATGAAAGTGCGATGTATTTACGTTATGGCAATCATCTTGGAATATAATCGTACTGTGTGTAAGACAATATTACGATAATCGAATTTGACTCGTACATTGAACGAGGGAAAATTGCGATTTATTTACGGACCGACGTTGGCCGTAATCTGCCTGTTATTAGATCGCATTGTGTTTACGACGATATAACGATAATATTAATTCTCGACTTTAACTCGTATATTGAACAAGAGCAAATACGATCCTTTTACGCTCGGACGCTGGTCGTAATTTGACGGCAATTTGATCGCATTTTGTTTACGACAATATTACGATAATATTAATTCTCGAATTTAAATCGTAAATCAAACAAGGGCAAGTTACGATTCTTTTACGCAAGGACGTTCGTCGTAATTTGCCTGTAATTAGATCGTACTTCAAAATACGATTTTATTACGATTGTCTGCAAGTAAATTACGGTCAAAAAACGATGAAAACGCGTTCTAGAGGTCAGTAGTGCGATCGTCAATAGCAGCTACTGGAATATCACTATTAAACCGAAACAAGTAAAGTGTCTGGAGGTAGTTTATCGTGGAAAGGATACTGTCGGTTTTCTGCCAACGGGATATGGAAAATCCATAGTCTTCCATCTGCTGCCTGGAATTTTTTTGGCAAAAGTCAGTTCTCGATCGACAGAACAGTCGCCTATTCATCCGGTTATTATCGTCATTTCGCCGTTGAATGCTTTAATAAGTGATCAGATCAGAAGAAGTACCGAGGGAAAAGTCAAAGCGGCTATACTCAATGTGAGAAAGGGAAAGAACGGTGAAGACCTTGAGTTCAATGATACTAGCGTTGCAAACTCCTCTTGGCTCAAGGATGCGAGATATGACATAATTTTTACCCATCCTGAGGCCGTTTTGCCATGCAAAAAGGGGATGGAGCTGTTCCAAAGCCAACCGTATCAACAGTACGTCTAAGCAATAGTTATTGATGAAGCTCATTGCATTCTAGAATGGTAAGTTATTAGTTAAATAGTAAAGATATTCTCAGCATGAGTAAACCTACGATAATTCGAGATTCATTTTAAACTTGCTGTTTCACAGCTATGTAGACCATTTTGTTAATAATGCCACTTATGCGAACTTTGAGAATATGCTTGTCAATGTCACAATCACAACTTTGTATTAAAACAGGTATGTCTTCCCAGCATTATATCATTAGAAATAACAAGTGAATCCATTCATGTTTTTTTTGTATTTGCTCTATTGTTTATTCCTTTATGTTTTGGGTAGATATTTGTAAGTTTGACTCAGTTTGTTGGCGGTTTACACTGTTGGAATTTAATTTCTTGGTGAAGTAGCACAAAGATCTCCGTCTTTGTTAGAAAGAGGTGACCACAGTTGATAAATGAATGTGATAAGAAGAATATCCTTTTTTCAATGCACTGATTAACATCAATAATTGGATGAAAGCTTCAAGGTATTATTGAATTTTTGAAGTATGGAAAACATCATTTGTTTCCTTCAGGTCTACTTGACCATCATGAACTTTCTTCAACTTCACCTTTATTCTTCACTTTTTCGAAGGCATTTAAAAATTAATATGAACAAAAAAAATATTGTTTTACACATATCTACAAGCGTTTACTCTAAAGATACATAAATAATGTAATATGTTGAAGTTCAGATTTAGGTGAATCCTACTGTATCTGACTTAAGCAGAAAGGACAAAAGTTTACAATATGCTTTATTTTGCTTTTCGGGGGAGATGACTTTCGCAAGGATTATGCCAATCTGGCGATGCTGTGTGCCACTTTTCCCACTGTACCTGTGGTCGCACTCACCGCTACAGCAAGTAAAAGAGATTTGAAAGCAATAAAGTAATCTCTTAATTTAAAGAATCCTGTAGAGGTCATAGGGAATCCAAATCAGGCAAATATTTTCTACAAGAAAGCATTTCGTAAAGAGGACGATGTAAACTTCTTTGAGGAAATTTTGAAGCCAATTGCTCTTGGTCTCAAAGAGAAAACAGTAGGTTATCCCATCACCATCTTATGCTTGCCCTTAAGGTGGTGTGGATTTTCATTTAAATTTTTTGAAATGCTGCTTGGTGATGACCAGTATCACTCACTCCAAAGCCCTGGTAATGAGATTGCATGTGTGCCTGAAATTCCAGAGAACAGGCTTTTTGCACAGCACCATGCCCCGCAAACAACAGCTATGAAGGAGCTGACATTATAGGAACTTTCAATTCCAACATCAACCATTAGGGTTGTGTTTGCTACAGTTGCATTGGGTATGGGTGTAGACATCCCATCAATCAGAAACATCATTCATGTAGGACCACCACGGACTATAAGGGAATATTTTCAGGAAACCGGACGGGCAGGCCGTGATGGAAAACAATCTTTGGCAGTGCTCTATTACAACAACAGAGACATTGCAAAAAATCGAGAAGGTATGAGCGATGACATTCACCAATTTTGTCGCCTAGAGGACTCTTGTATACGAAAACTTCTTTTGAATTGTCTTGATGCTTCAAGTGAAGCATGTATTGGTCATCTATGTTGCAGCTATTGTGAATTTGTATGTGATTGTGATGATTGTCTTATCCATTGTCTCAATCAAATAGATATCTGCCTTCCGTGAATATACATGCATCAGGAGTTCTGGACTTCCTGTTGGATCGCACGGCATTGTGGGTAGGCAGGCTCAGAAAAGTGGGCATCAACTTGCAGCTTCGCCATATTGGATTACATCGAGTGGAATTACATCGAATTACACGTGCAGGAATTTATAAGAAGAACCAAATAAAAGGTATTTTAAACGTAAGCTATTGTTTCATTACCTCTTGGCAACGTCATTCTAACGATTTTAGGCTGCAGAGTGTAGTCGATTTGAGATGGTACGAGTATGATTTTTGCTTATTTTATACTCAGACTTATGTCGTATTTCTTTTGTTTAAATGTAGATTAACTTTGTGCATGGGATTCGGCCACAGAAATTGTGTGGTCCT